CGGCAGTTGTAGCCACGGCTGCTGCTGTGACCAAACAGCTCGAGTCTGCTGGTTCACATAGTGATGGGTCTGGTGGTTCGGGTGGACGTGAACGACAGGGTAGTGGGGAATCATTACAACATGGGCCAAGTTTAGGAGAGGAAAGAGTATCTGACAGATCTTTCAGCCATGAAAGTCCAAAATCGGATGTTCCGTTGGATGATGTGGCGGATTGTGAGATTTTATGGGAAGAAATTACTTTGGGTGAGCGTATCGGACTTGGTAACTGACTTATGCTTTGCTGTATATGCTTTTGGATAGTTAGTGTTACATAAGAATAGATATTTCAGCTTACCTCTTTTCTGGTGCAGGATCATATGGAGAGGTTTATCGGGGAGATTGGCATGGAACTGTGAGTCTATCTGATGTTTATCCTCCCATCATGATTTCATTGCACTGATCATATCATATACTCAAAAATAAATTTTTTGCCTCCGGAGTCAATTCATCGGGAGAAAGGTCTAAGCTTTTGTGTGTTAACATTCATGAAATATCATTAGAGTTGTTGAAACTTTTGGCTTGGTAGGAAGTGGCTGTTAAGAGGTTCCTAGACCAAGAAACCATTGGAGAAGCTCTAGAAGAATTCAAAAGTGAGGTACACAATACAAGCCCTCCCCTTGTATTAGTATGTAAGGATTTCTATACTGAAACCGGTTTATGTGTTGGTAACATAGTCTCATTTCAACCAAAAATTCGATGCAAGGTTCGGATTATGAAAAAGCTCAGGCATCCCAATATTGTTCTCTTCATGGGGGCCGTAACCCGTCCACCAAATCTCTCAATCGTTACGGAATTTCTTCCCAGGTAAAACCCAGCTCCGTTCATGTATGCTATCTTTGATATGTATTGTTGAAAGGTTTTTACATTTTACTACCCACACATGTTTCTTCCTACATGACCAAACGCGTAATGTGGCATCTTTCTGTGTATTTCATCGGTGAAAAAACGTCCTTTTATTTCTCGGATTTTTACTTGTGCTTTGTTTGGATCTTTACAGTTACGAAAACTGAAGAAGAGTGTTGCTTTTTGCAGAGGCAGCTTGTATAGGTTAATCCACCGACCTCAGAATCAGTTAGATGAGCGGAAACGCTTGAGAATGGCCCTTGATGCTGTACTTCTCTTTTTCTTTTTCCGCCATTTTCTACACCCGAAAATGTTCTTTTTGTTTCTTACAAATTCTGTAACTTTTCAGGCTCGTGGAATGAATTATTTGCATAGCTGTAATCCTGTGATCGTTCATCGTGATCTGAAGTCCCCGAACCTTCTCGTTGATAAAAACTGGGTTGTCAAGGTGGGTTCCAAAATTTCACCTTTCTATTTTCTCGAGTTAGACTTAGACCATGTTTCATATTTGCTTAAGTATTTTGTCAGGTGTGCGATTTCGGGTTGTCTAGAATGAAACACAGCACATACCTTTCTTCACGTTCAACCGCAGGCACGGTAAGCCTTTAGACTCAAATTTTCGGGGGGTTTTCTCTCAATTTTTTTTTCCTGAAACTTTCTTATTGGCTGATCCATTCATCTCTAAACCAACCTCGAGTTTTCTCTACTCTTTTCAGGCTGAATGGATGGCTCCGGAAATTCTTCGAAACGAACCATCTGATGAGAAGTACGTCTTTTCTTTTTTGTTCTTCGTTCTTTCTGAAAAGTAAAGTTCCTTGGGCTTAATGTTCTGGAAACCATTGTACATATGAAACAGGTGTGATGTTTATAGCTTCGGAGTCATTCTGTGGGAGCTTTTCACGCTGCAGCAACCATGGGGGAAGATGAACCCGATGCAAGTTGTAGGGGCGGTCGGTTTTCAGCACCGTCGGCTTGAAATTCCCGATTTTGTCGAGCCCGGAATCTCGGATCTCATCGAAAAATGCTGGCAGACGTAAGTACCTTACTTTCTCCATCTTTCCCCTCGTACCGTTCCTTTGAACACGAAACCCAAAACCAAGACAATCAGCAGATCACGTTGGAACCCTGAAACCTGCGAATAGAAAAGACGAGAATCTGAAAACCCCGAAACCGTCCGTATTAGTTACTGAGTTACAGCCCAAACTCTCTTTGTGTAGTGATTCTAAGCTCTTTAGATACGTTTTTTTTTTCTGGTAGGGATCCTAAGATGAGGCCGAGTTTCGCAGAGATCATGGCTTGTCTGAAACAGTTGCAGAAACCTGCAAATAGTTCAAACATACAGAGACCAGTTCCAAGCTCTGAGCATGAACATCAATAGGGATAAGCCGAAAGACGGATAGATCACCACCAAAGTGGGAAGACATTTTTGGCAAGAAAGACTGATCCACTCGACAGATTCACTGTGTTGAAAGGGAGAAAAAAATGTTTAGGAGATTTTTTTTTTGCCTTGTGCATCATGCGGCTTATGATCAGAGAGACGTGTCGAAGCATGTGATGATGATGATGATGACGGCGGTGATGATGATGATGATGATGATGAAGAAGAAGAGAGAGGGCCGTTGTGGGTGCTCTGTAATATATATTAGTAATAAAACAATGTCTGCGTGTGTTATTATTTTCGTGTTTGTTTTTCAAACGAAGATATATAAAAAAAAAAAAGGAAAAAGAAATTGCTTTATGATTAATTGTTTTATCGTTTCTTCGAATTCGATCACACGAAGTGGATAGGGTGAGTCCATATTTGGATATAGAAGATTTCAACTCTTATTATTAAATCTAACCCGAGGAAACAAAAATGGCTTCCCTCTTCACTTCCTCTTCGGCTTCTCCCTTCATCAATCACCCATGGAACAAGCTCCACAACCACAACTTCGTCCCCTCGTCTCCGCCGCCGCCGCAGCCGGAGAATCCTCCGTCGGCGAAGCCTCTGAGCTCCGCCGCGACGGAGCAGCCGTCACCGGCGTCGATCAGTTGGCAGCAGCAGAAGAGGAAGAAGAGAGTTGAGACGAGGGATTGGGTGCCTTCGTCGCTGACGCGAAGGTTCGGAATCGGAGCTGGGATCGGCTGGGCGGCGTTTCTCGCCGTCGGCGTCGTCTCCGAGCAGATCAAGACGGTGCTCGAGGCCTCACAGGACGAAGCCCACACAAGGTTTGCTTGGTTTTAGTTATGGAGATTTGGGAATGAGAATTGGTATGGATTTTGCGATTCGTGTAGTGGAATTGACAAATTGAAGGAAGAGCCATGATTTTACCTCCGATGTCGGTGACTTGTGACGCAATTTGGATTGTGATGTTAACCAGATCGAATTAAGAACTGTTCTTAGAAACTTAAATTTCTTCCTTTTCGGTTGGCAGAGATGCAGAGAAGCAGGGAGAAATCGTTTTGCCAAACGGTATAAGGTACGTTTCAGATCAAGAACACAAATGTGGAAGTAGTAGAAATACGCTCGCCCATGGATTTTCTGCATTGGTCTGGAATCTGCATTGTCTCTTTCATTCACTCATGCAATGTTTCTCTGTGGTCTTGAGCAGTCATGTTTGGACTTTGCCTCTCGAAATCGACATCCTGATCTTTTAGGGACGAAACCCGGGTAGTTTTTGGGACAGAATCTGTTTTTCATCCTGTCTTTGATTGAATCTCATTGTGAATACTTAGTCTAGCAGATAATTGTTTCTTGGTTGAAGCTCTATGCTCTGTATCGGTCCTAATCTGAGACTGTAACTCCTTGCAACCCGAAACTAGGTAACTAACTCTTTCTTCTGGGTCGTGTTTTTGGAATCGAATTCCACAGGTACTACGATTTAAGAGTTGGGGATGGGGCCACTCCCCGACCAGGAGACCTAGTAGTGATTGATCTGAAGGGACAGGCCCAAGGAACAGGACAAGTACTGGTGGACACATTCGAGAGCGAAGACGAGAAGCAGCTTGCGCTGGTTATGGGTTCAAGACCATATTGTAAAGGGATGTGCGAAGGGGTAGAGCACGTCTTGAGGTCGATGAAGGCGGGAGGTAAACGCAGAGTGATCGTTCCTCCATTGTTAGGGTTTGGAGAAAAGGGGGCGGAATTAGGGCAAGGTTTGAAGGTTCCTCCATCTGCTACATTAGAGTATGTAGTAGAGGTTGATGCAGTCTCCATTGCTCCAGCTTGAGTTGCTCTGCTCTGTCTTGTAGATTGTTATTTGCTTGTTTTTGGCGATGTTGATTACATTACAAGCAACAATGGCTCAACTTACTAAAAGTTCAAACCTTTTTATATATATACATATATATATATATGTGTGTGTGTGTGTGAAGAAATTGTTTATTTGCAAAAAAAAAATGTTTATTTGATGTTGGATATTATAAAAAGTACAAAAAAAAACTTCTATTTTAGTCCATGTGTTTTCATAAAAAGCAAAGTTATGTTGTCTATTTTTCTAATCTTGTTATTAGAGTTTAATCATAACAGAATTTTTTTAGATTTCCTTATATATATATATGCATACACGTATATATATACATATATTTGTATAGGTATCACTTATATTAGTTTTAATAATAAATTTATAAAAATTAGTATTAATCTTTATGTGTATGATTTTACGAAATGAAACTAACACTCTTTTTTAAATTGCATTATTAGTGTGTTTGATTATAAATGTGTTTAGATCAAGACTTTATATTTTCGGTTGTATCTGTATATTAATATATGTGTGTATGGATTTGTGCGTGTTATTTTTCTTTGGAATATTCGTTGTCGACGTGCACGTGCGCCATCCACACGAGAAATATACAAAGATAACGAACGAGACTTCTCTCTTCAATTGAGTGAATCTCTTTGGCTGAAGAAAAGCACAGAGTTCATCGGTTGTTTTTCTTCGGAGATAATGGGAACGGTCATCGATTCCCATTTCTTGGCCCTCACCGTCATCGTCACTGTATTTCTCTGTTCTTATTCACCCTTGTTTCCGCTGTAACTTTTTCCCCGCGTAATCTGTTTGTTTCTCGGGAAAATCGCGAATTGGGTTTTCTCCTTTCACATCCGGTTTCTGTTTTCAGATGGGTTTATGCTCTAATTCTCTATTTGCTTAAATTCGGCAGCTTTTTTTTTTTTAATGATTTCCTGCAATCTGTTTGGTTTATCATGAAACTGAGAGCCGAGTTGTCTTCCTGCAGGTGGCTTATCAGTTTACCTTCTTCATAATCACCGCTCT